AAAAAAAAAAAAAAAAAAATCAGCGAAATTACTTCTTAAACGTCGCCGTTAACCAGTGACCCACGGTGGACGCGGTGTATCCATAGTAACAGCGTTAAATTAATTTCAATGGATCCATTTTTCTGCGAACATTTTATGAATCAGTTTGTTGATTGGATAAAACTAAGAAAACTGTGCATTGTGTATTATATCCACTTCCTGATCAATAAATGAATAAACATCGTATTTTTGACAGATGCGTAAAGTATATATAGCTCCATTCTGCTTGCAGGCACATCAGAGGCTATACATTTGTGTGTGACTTAAAACTTATGTGATTTAATATCCACATGTTGCTTCTGTGGTAACTATCCTCGTAACATTGAAGGAGAGGAAGTGTGTGCTGGTTTTCTATGGCAAAAGAGCCTGGCTTAATCCCAATTTACACATTTCCCTCTCACGACCTCGCTCTGTCTCTCTCTATTCTATTCTAATAAGGTTATTGCACCATCTGTATACAAACTAAAAAAAAATATATTCTGCCTTATTGCCTTTCATTTCTGAATATTTTAGGAACTAAAATACCTAAGACATTCATAGAACAATTACGTAAGATGTGTACGTAATAAGTACTCTTAGATTTTTCATAAAGACACTGTAATATTCCACATCAGCTCCCTTAGTCATCCTTAGAAAGCAAGGAACGCCTAGCCACCGTTTTTATTTCCGCCACGCCTCCATCACGCTTCGCTTGCTTTGATGAAATCTCAGTCATGTCGGTAGCTACACTATGCCCCCCCCCCCCCTCCCCCGAAAAAAAGTGCAAACAGAATAGTGCTCCCGGAATCTTATTGAGAAATACAGACAGGCCAGTAAAAGCAGTGCCAGCAATCTTCCTCTTATCTCCATCATTAATTTCTTTTCTCCATCATCAATGGCTATATATTAGTTAATTGGCTATATTTTTAGGTCCTTTGAAGATGAGTATACAATGCTTAAAGCGATTTACCATCAGATTCTTTATATGTTTATATTCTTATACAATATTCATGAACTAATAAATATGTTAAAAAGGTGTTGTTATCACGATCGATCAACAGATATGCCTGGGGCATCCGAAAACTAAAGAAGGTTGTACGCAGAATTAAAAAAGTGTCTTTTATCCCCGTTTTCATTTATTTCTTACCGAAATGACGTGCACAATTATTTTCATCAGTAATGATTTCGACGACTACAACTGCAGATAATAATAATAATAATAATAATAATAATAATAATAACAATGTATTTATTCGCATTTTTTCATTATTTAATGTCTTGATTCCATGTTCAGTAGACAAATCTAATGAAGGCTTAAACATAAGACTGATTATATGTACAATTAAAGTTTGACGTTTGAAATAATAATTTAAAGTAAAATGTTAAAAAAAGTATTTAAAGTAAAACATTAAAAGTAATACAGTTACAAAAATCCAATATTTCTTTCATACAGTGCATTTTAAACATAAATAAATTATGCATAAAACATCTTAATTTTTGTTATCATTGTTGCACTGGGTTATGATGTTTGACCGATGCAGTTATACCTATCAGATTATAAAATGCAGTATGCGTTAAACTTGAATTTTAAATAAAATCCTAGCCAAAACTGGTAACCAGTGCAGCTGCTAGAAAATTGAAGTAATGTGTTAATTTTAAGGTGGAAAGACTGCAAGTCAGGGCTATATACTCTGCATGCGTTGTAATATTTAATCTTAACATGTGGACATCCATATAATACACAATTAAAAATTAAAGTTAACCAGCTTATAACTGCTGCTTGCATTGTATAAGTTGTAACGTATATATAGCTCCATTGATTCACGTATTTCCTCACAATTTATTCCGAATATTGATTGATTGATTCACGTATTTCCTCACAATTTATTCCGAATATTGATTGATTGATTGATTCACGTATTTCCTCACAATTTATTCCGAATATTGAATAAACGAGACTACCGGTAAATAATGTTCGAGATCTGTTTTCAATTGAAAGCGAAGAATCAAAATAAAGCCCTGTTGTTTTCCTAAATAATAATAATAATAATAATAATAATAATAATAATAATAATAATAAAATAATAAATAATAGTAACAAATCCTTGTCACTCAGCGTTTATAATGCCCCCTCTTTTAATCTAATTGTTTTATTTAAAAATAATTGAGAACGCCTCAGTATCAAACGCACTATACCAAAAAAAAACATTTTTTTTTTCAAGTATTACATTCAATAATCGGAAAAAAAGTGTAAAATGTGATACTTTGATATTTCACAGTTGTCATTTCACGTCCGTAGAATAATCCTTTATTATATATTTTTTTTCATTTGTAGGTCGTTATTATATTTCTGACGCTATGGCCATCAGTCATGTACCAGCCCAGAAGCTGTACAAAATTACAATTCGGAAGTCACACATTAGGAAGTGTCTTTCAAAGACCCTCTTCATCCTCAAAATGTACTTCGTTATCTGACTCGTCTGAGCGTTGTCTTTCTTCCTGATAATACTCCCCAGCATCAAGCTTCCTTTGCAATCTCGGAGGCAATTTCTTGTAAAATGGTGTTCCTAACGTATAAAGTTTAACACGCTACATTATATGAATATACGGGTCGTAGTTAGATTTAATTTAAAATCATATTACCACAAAATTCGGCTTTTGAAGCAATAGCCTCAAATATCCATTTGCATAATTTGTTAAAGGGGGAAATATATTTGTTCCTGAAAAAAAAAAACATTTTGGGGCCAACAGTAGAGGAGTTAATGCTTTAAGATTATTATTAACTCCACAGTAATCAAACAAAGATAAAAACGGTTCAATGCATGCAATATCGACATGCATATGAAAGGAAATTGACCAGAAAGAAAAAAAAATGTCACAAATACAGTCAATATAGATCAACCTTTTACATACACAAACACATATAACAATATCAATCATTTAATACCTTTTATGCCCATTGGAAGAAACTCGCCAGCATCTTTGACTCTCCCGTTTTCTTCATAATGTGATATCAGCTTTTTTAACGTGGTATTACATATAAGTAGCTTCTTATTTCCTGAAATTAAAATAAGTTACGACGTCACGGGAATCCTCATCTTTACGGCATATAAATATCCCTTCACGATGTTTGTCTTCAATGGAAGCGCTTTATGTGAAGCTACGTCTAGCTTCGATTTTGTTACAGTGTACTTTGACGGTGGCTTACTTTTATTTTACAATTATTTCCAACAATACAGTGAAAATAGGTTAAAGATAAAATATTTTGACAAAATTGTCATAAAACTATATTCAAACAGAAATCATATCGCAGATAACAGAAATCTGTATAATACACATTGTTCACATAAATAGTTGTTTTTTTACAAGCTTATCACAATCCGATTACTCAAAAGCACTTCAGTAACACTTTCGTTTCATATCATCACATTTCCAAACGGAATTCTATTTTGCTTAAGAGCATATGGTCCTTGCAGTTACCAATAATAATCAGGAATCTTCTTGGGCGAGTAAGTGCCACGTTAATCTGATGGTCATCTGTTATAAAGCCAAGGTTGACTTTACACCAGCCCTTGGTCGGCCTTTGAACAATCTGGTACTCTGGGATGGAGCGGACAGTGCTGAAGATGACGATGTCCCATTCTCCACCTGGTGGAATGCAAAATATGAACGCACTGTACATGGATCAAGGGATTTCAAAACGCCAA